AGGTGGAGCAGTGTGCCAGCAAGGACGCTGCCCCTTTCGTAATGACATCAAAACTAGATATCGAGCGGTGTGTCAGTAATGATGCTGGGTCTCCTAGGGGGTGGAGTAGTGTGCCACTGAGGACGCTGTCCCTTTCGTAATGGCATCAAAACCAGACACCGGGTTGGTGTGCCAGTGATGACGCTGGGTCTCCTAGGGGGTGGAGCACTGTGCCAGCAAGGACGTTGCCCCTTTCGTAATGGCATCAAAACCAAACGCTAGGCGATGTGCTAGTGATGACGTTGGGTCTCCTAGGGAGTGGAGCAGTGTGCCAGCGAGGACGCTGCCCCTTTCATAATGGCATCAAAACCAAACACCGAGCAATGTGCCAGTGATGACGCTGGGTCTCCTAGGGGGCGGAGCAATGTATCAGCGAGGACGCTGTCCCTTTCGTAATGACATCAAAACCAGACACCGGGCGGTGTGCCAATGATGACGCAGGGTCTCCTAGGAGGTGGAGAAGTGTGTCAACGAGGACGCTGCCCCTCCGAAAAGGATGCATTATGAGATCTTACGTTGCGACGATGTTTCACTCTTCCAAGAGGAACTAAATAGAGGCTGAAAATTAATATTCAAGTCTGAACAAAGTTAAAACATTTAAAGAGACATTTCACAGACAACACAAAAGCATTCCTTAAACTCCCCGAACAAGAAAAAAACAAGCAACAAGAGAGTGGAAGGTTGAATTCTGAGGAGAATAAGCCATATTAGCTTAGATCTATTTCAGAACCAAGAAGAATGAGCCCTCTTCTTCCATGTTTCAAAACCTGAATAAATCTATGGATGATCCATCAGGTCCGTCCTCGAACATCGAGTAGCACCGGATGTTGGCATCGCTGCTACCGTCCGAGACCAAACGAGGACTAACGAGGTCACTCTCGAAGCCAAGACCGTCGCTATGGACAAAATGGGATGAGGGGATGAGGTTGGATTGGACCATGGAGGTTAGATTATTAATCTCCCCAGCCTCAACTGGTGTTGACAGAAGAGAGAGAGCACAGCCATTTCCCACCACTTTCTGAACATTCCCAACGTTGTTGGATCCAACATTGAGAAATGGCGGCTGTTTTTCTTTGTAATCACAGCCCGACAGCCCGGGAAACATACTTTTTCTTCTGTCAGCAATGTCGAGCTGTGAGTTGCTGCTGCAAAGAGCGTCGTTATGCTCGGGCTTGATCATTCCGATCCAAGATGAGCTCAAATCATTGCCAGTAGACAGTAACTGGTTACCAAATGGTAAGAATCTTGGACCTGTACAAGCAAGTCATTCGATGACGAAACATGCAAGCGTGGAAGAGAATGCCTAAATTAATATAACGAACCTTGGTTGCTATAGAGAAATCGTCCTGCATTAAGCGTTATCGTTGCAGGTTGAGGCTTTCTTCGACGTCGGTTGTGCCCATCAAGACGTTTCCTACAGCTTCGTTTTCGATCATCAAACTCCACCAGAGAATGGAATCTACAAGAACATGTGTAATTGAACTGAAATGAATACCAAGAACAGAACCAACCAGACAAAGGTAAGAAGTAAAAGAAACATATAAAATGCAAGTCCCACAAAGATTTGCTTCCAATACTTATTCAACTATCTGGTAAAAAGCAAATAGATTATGGGAATCCGCCATCCGCGTCCGGGGTCCGAGGAGTAAAGATACGAGCACGCCTTGAACATGTTACAGCAGAAAACAAATGCAAGCACAAACTCGAGGTAGTGAAATAGAGTAAAAGAAGAGAGCTTATCCCACCCACTGTAACAACCCAAGCCCACCGCTAGTAGATAGTGTCTACTTTAGCCCGTTACGTATCACCCTCAGCCTCACGATTTTAAAGCGCGTCTACTAGGAAAAGGTTTTCACACTCATAAGGAATATTTCGTTCCCCTCTCCAACCAATGTGAGATCTCACAATCTACCCCCATTGGGAGCCCAACGTCCTCGCTAGCACACCCCTCAGTGTCTAGCTTTGATACCATTTGTAATAGCTCAATCCCACCGCTAGCAGATGTTGTCCGCTTTGGCCTATTTCGTATTGCCGTCAGTCTCACAGTTTTAAAACACGTCTACTAGGGAAAGGTTTCTACACCCTTATAAGGAATGCTTCGTTCTCCTCTCCAACCGATGTGGGAGTTCACGATCCATCCCCTTGGGGACCCAACGTCCTCATTGGTACATCGCCCGGTGACTGGTTCTGATACCTTTGTAACAGCCCAAACCCACCGCTAACACAGAAAAAAACGAACAGCCTAAAAGTATACCCCATCTGCATAACTTGAATTCTAATGATCAGAAAAGAAAACCATAAGAAGGCTGAATCAATGAAGAAAATTACAGCATATGATGTTCTAAACATTCCAACACACCTGCTACATTGCTGGCAGAATCGTTGTTCCCGACCGCAAATGGTTACTTTCGGTGTTTTAGAATGGAACTCGCACACTTTATGGCGACGATGATAGTCCCTGCACTTGCTAAGGTCTGAACTGCAGCCATCAACCATACACGAAGGAACTTGGGGTCCGTTATAAGGGGTACGTGACCTCTTCGTTAATCTCGAAGACGACGACGACAACGACTCGATCAAAGTAACTCTAGTTCCTTCGATGTCATCCATTGATCCTTCACCCATATGACCAATGCCCCTGAGTCTCAAATACATCAACCAACTTCCTCTACTCCAACACACTCTCAGTTTCCTTCTATACTTTACAATTTTTTGAACGTTTTCCTTTTCTCTAAACAACACCGATTCCCAATACAAATTTCCCTCAATAAGAGTAAGAAACCAGACGATGAACGATGAACGATGAACGATTGAGCAGCAATAGGAAGGATACAACTCAAGCTTAAGCAAATACAACACAAACAAGTAATACAATCAGTACTGTCAAAATTTCCTCAACTAGATCAAATTTTAGGCTGCAAAAGACGAGGAATATGGCCCATCAACATGAACTATCCACTTCAGTCACAATTCTCTAAGATCTATGCTCAAATTTTGTAAAAAGTATAACGAAAGTAGCTCATCATCACCAAGATTAAAATCCAGAACAACAGAAAATTCCAACAGAAACCCAATTCTGCAGCATCATCAAATCATGATAAACTAATTTCAATCCCTACAAATTGCATTCATACAAAAACAAACAAAAAACAGCAATAAATTAGAAGAAACTCACGAGTGAAGCTCCAACTTCAACCTGAGGAAGCTGAAAGAGGAAGAACTGAAGAAACAGAAGGATGAGAAACGGGTTCAAAAACCAAAAGGGAATCGGATTTGGGCGGATGAAGAGTTAGAGAAAGCAAAAGAAGGAAGAAATTAGAATGAGAAATTGGGAAGAGTGGATAATGTAGTTGGAAATGGGTATTTTGGAAGTGTTGAGAATTGTATTGTTTAGAGACCCAAATCCATGGGATTTTGGTGGGAGAGAAGGGGAAAATCTGTTGAGTAAAGAGAGAAAACAAATAGAAAAATGAGAGAAAGGGGCATAGAAATGAGTGGCAAAGAAAGCGACAGAGTGTGTGTTTGTTTTTATGAGTTCAAATTTGAGGGACCCAAAGGAATGGTGGAATTTCCAAAACAAAACCCTATGCCTTCCTTTCCCTCCTCTTTCAAATCCGAGCATATATTTACCATTTCTAAATTTTAAGCAATTCTTGTGTAGAATTGCACCCCAGCAATTCAATTAGACTTTGATCAAGTTAGAGGGTGGAGTGACTCAATTTAGAACAAGGTTCAAATCTTGCTTCTAGATCTTCGATCCTAATCTAATTCTAGCCTTATCTCTTGGTTGAGATCTTTGATCGTAATCTAATTCTACCATTATCTCTTGGTTGATCCAAATTTAATTCTAGCCTTATCTCTTGATTGAGATCTTTGATCGTAATCTAATTCTACCATTATCTATTGGTTGATCCATCCAAATTTTGTATAAGGAGGTGTTAATTACTATGATTCAAGGGTTTTTGCTAAAACAAAAACTTCAATCGTTCGGCTGAGGATTAGGGTTGCCTGAGTAATATTGAACTTTTGAAAGAATATGAACATTTTTTATACAAGTAACCAATCCAAAGAGGGTTAAAATTATAAATTTATCCTTATATTTAAAGTTTTTTCTTTTGCCTTCTTTTCCTCCTCTTTACGATAATTTATTTTCCCTAAAAATCACTTCATAAAAATCACTTCATAAAGTCGAATAAAGTTGTGATTAAAACCACTTATAGAGGGTGATCATCGAGTTCTAAGACAAAACAAAACTCGATTGCAAGACCCACCTATCAAATATGGACGAAAGTCGACCATCATGATCCAACATTATTGAATAGAAGGGGTCGTTGTTCAACGGATAAAAATTTAAAGATGAGAGTCGTAAGAGAAAATATTTTAATATAACGTGTTATGATAGACATAGTATGGCCCATCTGTACTTTTCTAATTAATATTAATTTAATTTAGTTAGTAATAATTAATTTAAAGTTATAATTAAATTTTATTTATTAGAGAGAGAAATGGTGAGCCATAGAAGTGGAATGAGAAGTTGTGAACCAAACGATCAACTAAAGTAGAAGGCTCCAAATAAAATAAAATATTTAATAATAAAACAACCAAAGTCGCCCAGCTGCAACAGCTGGAAAAGAGCCTCTAGAGACCAGTTGAGAACTTTATATGTATAATTTACATTGCTAAACGGATACAATTTTACGGTTAAAGCTCTCGATCGAGAAAGCACCTGGTTTGAACCTACTCGCCTTGCAAGAGCGTTTTCCCAGTGCTGCAAAAGAGTGGCTAAGCACGCTAAGTAATGATAACAAAGATATTATGGTCCGTGCTATGACACTAAGGATGCTCTGATACCAAACAATATGGATAATAACAAAAATAAACAAACCTCGATCCCACTTCTTGAGGTATACTTGTACATGTTTTTACTAAGCTGTTGAATTGTTCTGCAAATAATAAGGGCAGATATTAAGCTAAGTAAAGGTCCCAACTTTATTTCATGTTAGCTAAGCACTACAATTTGGAACACACACAGCATGTTTGAGAGTGATTTTGAAACGACTAAAATCACTTGCTCTTAGCTAACATGCCCTTAACTCGGGAGAACATCTCGAAGAACGGTATTTCTTGGCATAGTGGCCAAAAACTCGAGCACGTTATTGATGTCCCTTAATTCACCAATGTTATATTCTTCAAATAATAAAACAATTAACTCATAGTAGGGCAGCAGCCTTCCAAGTTCAGGATGCATTTATGTGCTCAGCCTTCCAAGACTCAAAACTTCCACAAAGACAATATGACGCATATGGAAACAAAATTCATTACGTCAAGAAAGCATCAAAATTAGTACATGATGAAGTTTCAGGGTCTACCTTAGATTGCAAAACTTTTTGACTATCAATGAAGTACTGGTTTGGATGATTAATCCCGGCGTCGCATGACGAACCATGAACCGATTCAAATGTCAAGGTGCAGGCCAACTAAAGATACATGAGAAAAATGTTTACGTTATTCCCAATATTAAAATAAGATGTAAAAAAAAAAAGGAGAATTAACAGCCAACCTGATAGTGTCTATTTCGCACTTTGTCCAATATATCTTCCATTTTCTGGTTATTTACTCCCATTTTACCAAGAGCTGCTCTTAAGTTGTCTTCACTGTTGAAGAAATCGTTATATCAAACAATGAATATCTTTTTAAAAATATATATCATTCTTATACCATAAGAAAATTTAAAGTCATCAAATTAAGCATAGCTCTAGCATAATGACCAAGAATAACTCTAGCATAAAGACCAAGAGGTCGAAGGTTCAAATTTTCCACCCCGCTTGTTGTTGAACTCAAAAAAAATTAAGTCCTAGAAGTTTAGGCACTATTGCCCCTCTACAAAAGCTGTTTGTTGCCTAGTTATTGTGGTGCCCCTCTACAAAAGCTGTTTGTTGCCTAGTTATTGTGAAGAGGATAACTTTTTTAAGATGTTCTGATAATACCCTTGCTAAGGATTGTGGTCTTTGAATAACACCTATCCAAAGATCACATGTTTGAATCTTCAAGTGAGATTAATAAGAAAAACACTCGATATTTCAAAGTCTGGGTCTTGTAATGGGCCCACAATTATAAAACGATAGACATACTGTTCTTTTTAATTGATTATTAAGCTTTCCAACTCCACAAAGACGAATTCTTCCAACATTTTTTTTCTTTATCATGGATTAACAAGCACATTGCCTTATGGCCTACAACATATATATATATGTGTGTGTGTGTATGTATGTATGTATGTATGCATACTAAATGACTTCAGCTTAAAATTCAAGATATCAAGAAATTGTTTTAGGAGGCATACCTGAAATGTCTATAGGGACATCCATGATGATCTCCAACACCAGGTGATGATGAGATGACTTTTTGACAGGAATAAGGTGAATAATCCTAGTACGTTCAGATAGAAAAAGATACAAATCAAGATAGAGAAAATTAGAAAATACACAAGACTGCTTATAGTTGTACAAGTAGGACAATGATGGAGAGGCCAGATAAAAACATAACAAGAAAAGACGAGTAATCACGTCGCAGAGAAATAGGACATTAAAAATTGTCGAAAAAGATGACAAAATATTTGAAGATTTCTAAAATAAAAATCTAAGTAAAGTTGAATCAACTAGTTCTGCATCTTAAAATCTCCTTTTTCAAAAACAAATCTGCATCTTAAAGATTTAGAGGCAACATCTCTTACCACTCTCTTGCCTTCTTTTCCATAGTTATGCCTGATACTGTATGCATATTCTTTGTCAAACCTCTCAACACCAACCTATGGAAGAAAGGATAAAGCAATAGCTATAAGATATAAACTTCTAGCAAACAGATAAAGTAATATTCAGGAGAAATGGAAGTAAATAAATAGAATAGAGAATAGGATAAAAATCAAGAGAGAGAACTCGAGCATTATAAAAGATGTTTACTGAAGAACAATTAGGACAACTACAGAGACCAACTTTAACATAATAAAAATGATAATTAAAGATTTCCCAATGGCTAATGGTGGCACAGGAATTTGCAATTTAAGGAAAAGAAATGAGGTCTGATTAGCAAAATGGTTTGGAGGTTATCTTTAGAGGGTAAGAAACTATACATTATGTCATTGTTAGCACTTATCGAAAGGAAAGATAGCGTTAGTTTGTCAACGAGAGATAATCAAGTAGTCTTCAAGAACCCTTAAAAAGTATAGCATTGCATAAACCTTGTTTGAAGAATTCACTTCTATCAGAATTGAAATGAAAGCGGAATCTAAGATGAATGGACCGGCTTACAGCCTTTTGTGCAAACTTTCACAGGGGTTTTTGCAGTCCTAAAGGGACTTGTATATGGGACTTGTATATTTCTTTTTTAAACCAAGAACAAACTTTTCATTGATTTCATTGATAAGTGAAAAGCTACAAATAGTCAAGAATACAAACTCCCACATGGAAAGAAAAGAGAGTTAAAGTTTTAAAGGGGCTTGCTTGTTAAAGATGGTTGGAAAGAGAGCATAGCCAATTTGAACCATGTGATGGGAAGAAACTTAACCGATAAAGAGAGATGAATTAGCAACTAATAGAATTCCTAAAAAGGGTTTGTCTCAATATAAAAGAACATTGAAATTAATGGCACTTAAATTTTTAGATACTTTCTAGCTGAAATCACTATTCTTCCAATTGAAATATATTAATGTCTCAACAAGAATTTTTATTTGGCAATAAGGGAAGGTGAGGGGCAAAAAATTCTTATTGTGGGTTAGAGATGACATACGGGAAGGTTAGAGTTAGGAGACTCACTTCCCAATCCCAACCCCATTTCTAACATCATTACTCAATTTTTGAGTTGTTATTGTTATATCACCATTTTTACTGCTGTTTATTCCTTTGCAGATAACTTAAAAGAGTATTATTATGCTTACTCTCTGCGAGAACTCAGCTCTCCAGAAAGCAAGGGCATCATCAAGCTTCAAACCAACACCCTGCATGTGAAGAATTGTAGTTAAAGATTGAAAGGCTTCATACCAAAAAATGAGAGGAGCACTACACAGATAAATACTTCAGTAAAAAATACTACTCATGCTTCAATCAACTACATATTATTTGTTCTTGATTGTTGATTCTCCTCATATATGATTCTCCTCACATAAAAACATCATCAATCGTCTAAATTAAACTGCCTTTACTGCTTGAAGCTTGAAACCAGTCAATAAATTTTTTTCCTTTGGAATGTTACTTTGGTTTTGATCCTGGAAATACAGCTTTTCCGTAATCTCCAAAGCTTTTACTTTGGGTGCAAAAAGAGATCTTCCTGCTTTGGTATCGTATCAAATGATAACAAAAATAGCCGATATCACCATTACACAACCATTAAGAAACTTTAACAAGACAGTAAACGACGATAGAGGAACATGTACACAATTCATATTTATAAGAGCAATTCAACTCTTCATGTAGAATAAACAAGACCATTCAGCACTTTTGTAGAAATACATTTAGTGAATGGAACGGTAAGTATCAACTCTCTCAAACCAATTGTGATCAATACCAAACAGAAAGAAAAATGAAAAGTACATCAAAGTGTAAGCATCTAAAATCAGTAAAGGGGCATTGCACAACCTTAAGAAAGAGACCTAATTGCATTCTCCCTCCATGCTTCAAATGATGATCTTCTTTCAGCTGGACATGAGTAAAATAAATAAATGAAAAACTGTTCAATATATTCAATATTATGTACCAACAACAGGAAGAAATAGGAGAGAGAAAGAGAAAAGAGAAAAACTTCCAGAAATATAACTAGGCAAAGCATTGTGGCCAGTCTTCTAACCTTATCAAATAGGTGCCGCATGCAAAGAGGAAATGAACTTTTAGCAATTTGTTCAAGGTCTTTGATTGATATATCAGCATACTCTGTTGGCTGGGGAGATATTAAGCAACGAAGATCCAGATCAGATTACATCATGTGGTAAAGTAGCTACTTAAATAAACTACCTGTGAGTAGTCAGGACCCAGGTAGCTAGTGCAAAGGGCTTCAACGATCTATAAAGCACTTAGAATATGTCAAACACCACAAGTATAACGTTTCTTTACAATGCACGTGTCTCACTATTATTATACTCACAGGGGTCAACCGATCCTTCTCTTGTTCTCTTATTGTAGATGTCCATTTCCTGGTAATAAAATTTATAACTTTTAGAGATTTAAAAAATGAAACTTTCATCATGTACTTCGTTAGATCTCCCAAAACTTCGTAATATAAATGAAAATTTTGAAAAAATGAAATTATCACACAACATCCGTCCCTATATTCTATCCTTTTGTGATAAGAAACAAACTTTTATTCATAAATGCTGCAAGTATTTATGAGAAGAGTAGTTGAGGGAAAATGAAATCTAACGTAATCCAATTCAAGCGTTCTTTAACAACCTGTTTGTCAGACTTAAGGCCTTTGATAGGTAACTGCGGAATTGTGTTGCAACAAGGGAAACCACCTAAGCAATACATGGAGGAAAATTAAAAATAACCATCAAGAAAGTACATAAAATTAAATAAAGATGTATACATGCATATATAGTCATGAAATTACCTGATAGATAGCAATATATGCATATCCTTTATGAAGTAATACCCTTCGACCAGCCACCAGTTCTGGAACTTCTTCCCATGGTACCTTCATAAGATAAGGTAGGAAAACGATGAGGAAGAACATCCAACAAGCTGAATTTTCTTTCCTTCTCTCTTTTTTTTTTTTT